TTTTTTTTTTATAATAATCAATACTGTATTCAGTAGAAGTAATCTTTTTCTTTTTCCAAGAGTGCGTCTTTCTTACAGTACCAATCAGTCGATGTAGTTCTATTAAATTATAAACTGCTATCAAATCAAAGTTTACGTATCCGAAAAGATTAAGAATAAAAAAATCGATTATGTGTCATGAATAGATTAACATTTTCTCTCATAACTTTTACTATAAGAAACCGTGATGATTTACTAAGAATGACACAAAGGTCAATTCTTCTAGAAATATTCATGTAGATTTGAAATTTGTACAAAAGTTGATATTCTATATCAATTTGATCCATAAAAAACAAATGCATTGAATTGAAATAGATCGTCTTTATACGTATACTGTATGCCAAAGGCGATTATAAGATTTTTTGACCCATAAAAGGCCTATATATATACAGTAGAGTGCAAAAAAAATTGCCGTTTAGTGTATTGACTTTCTTTAAAACTGTTTCGTACGTTCTTCGAGCGATTTTTCTCGAGTTATGTGCAAGTATTAGGTACTGCCTTGGTGCATTCAATGAGACGGCAATTGCTCGAAAACTGTTATGCATTTGCCAAAAAATGACTTATAATTCAAGCATTACGTGCATCTGATCTGACCAATAAATCATATTACATAATTGAAGTAATGATTATCGAGAAGAAGTTTGAAACTACTGTATAACGATGATCCTTATTCACATTAGTTATGATAAAATTTTCAAGATTGAGGAGCGTAACACTGTGTTATAATAAGGCTAACAATAGGATCGACCAGCCTTAAATAGGTAAAATTATCGTTTGGCTACTTAATAGCACAAGTCTGAATCTAGTTAAATTATTCTTCCAGACCATTCAATCAATTGATATGAATGAAAAACTTTAAGATATTGATGAATCAAAAAGATTCTGACCCGACAAGTGGGTTAAAACTGATGCGTAACTTGTAATTTTTTTTATTCTTTCCAAGAACGTAAGATTATTATCTTCTTTAAACTCATAGAGAATGCGAAAGTTTTAATGATTAATATATTTGTATAGTACAGCATCTGGGTAGTACAACAACATTGATAAATCATAATATCTGATACTTCTCTGAGAAGAACTTTGAAAAGTCTATCGGCAATTATTTTTGCACTCTACTGTATATAGGTTAGTAGAGAAAGACTTTCTCAATCCAGTGGTGTATGTATTATCAAGTTTTCTTTTGCGTACCACCGAAAAGTCAACAGAGAGCACTATCTTCGCCATGACTACAGTCAAAAATGACGAAGACGTTGCTACCTAGTCACATTTCAGCTACGGATGCAACAGTGACGGTGGATCACTGGCCCACCGTCCATCGGTGCACCGTATCACCTGGTGAACAGTGAACCAGTACCATCGGTACTGCGATGAACCGGTGGACGCTTCACCGTCATCATTGCATTCCTAATCTTAACGGTATCTAATAGAAGTTGATAACACATGCATCATTAGATAAAAGAAGTCTTCCTCTACTAACCTCTATAGATCTTGTTCTAGCATAAAAAATCATCGTGACGCATATATTCGCCTCTCACTCTAACAATGTTCACAAATAATAGATGTTGCGAAAGTTTCTAGCCGGATAAAACACCATGGATTAGGACCAGAATCGTGTACTCTTTGCGAATATAGGCTCAGAAGTTTTTCTATCTGTTTTTGCTCGAGAGCAGTGAGAAATTCTTTGAAATGGCTGAAAAATTAGCTCGGACAGAAGATTTTTTTTCGTATTTTCACTGTTAGCATCAGAAACTAAATGTCGTCAATTTTGTTCATATATCATCGTCCGATAAAGTGTCGAAACTATTGTTTTTCTACCACTCCCTTTTTTAAAAATCGACTTTTTTCGACAAGAGAGTATTTTACATGGAATGTAGCTTCCGAGAAGATGCTTGTAGTTTCACTTGGGTAAAAATGACAGTTTATGTCAATATTATATTTTATAAACAAATGTTCACTCTACAAAATTACTAAATTTAACAGTTTTTAACACCTTTACAAAAATCTGTTTAATCGTTATCCAATACAATTTTTCAGGACTTTGAAAAATTCACACACTGTTCTCAAACAAAAATAGACACATTATGTCTAAATTTATCTTCGAAAAGAGCACAAAATTCTGATTTTCACACGCTTAGTATACTTTCAAACGGGTCAATAGCGAACAAACAATTTCTCCGGAAACTTTCCCATCACTTGTTAACTCTTTATTCCCAGATACTAATCTAGTAGGGTTGCTGTTGAGTCAACGGTGGACATATTTTATGCATGCGCTGATTATGACATTGATATGGTTAAATCTGAGCGAAGTTATTTCACTATGGAGATGAAGAATGTACCATAAATAACCCATTGATTTTGAATGACATAAAAATTGAATTCATTGGTAATTTGACTTTTTTAATGTTTTTTTCTTAGCTACGTTGTTATTTTATCTGTGTAAAGCTGCAAACCTACTTATAAATTATCTTGTGGACAATGATTCATTGCGCTGGATGATAAAGGACTAAACACTTGCAAAGGGGGCTATTTTCAGATTAAAATCAAGTCTCTCATTTCTAGGATCGTGTTAGAATCATTCGTCTTCGTTTTCTTTTTATAATATGGAATTATTGTTTCTGATTCTGACTCGTCAAGACGAAAGGTTATAACAGTAACTGCAAGTTTCTTTTTTTTATCGATCAGAATTTTTCATACTATTTATGAGTTTATATCGAAAATAAAATAATTCTAGAAATAACATTTTTCATATTACTCATTATGAATGGGTCAAAAATGATGTTGCAGAATGTAAAGAGTTAATCTGATGGAACTGAGAGAGGGACACTCATTTATGATAGTTCTATAAAATAAGTATATTAGTATTCAACAGATTGATTTGAAAGATTCTCTAACGAGGGAACGCCTTCAATTAATCAATCACTTTTCATCGAAATCTGGTGGATTGTAGGCTATCGACCATGCTGATTCTGAATGTAATCGTAAGAAATCTCCTCAGGTTTTATATGCTGATTTTCTAAGTAATAAATCTCATGACTAAAGAATTTATGATTTATATGATATTACGTATGTTTGTTGATCGTTATTTTCTAATAAATATTAAAAAAATACTAACTTTTCCTCTTTCTAATTTTGAAGGCGGTAGTTCCTTTTTATCTTTAGTAGTACCACCAGTCGCACTTATGATACATTTTGCATCTAGGGAGCAAGAAAAAAGAGAAATTTCAATATTATTACTATTAATAATCTTACTTTCTTGTTGGTTTGTATATTCAAAAAAGTTTTCCATGATTCAAATTCATAACCATCTAAATAAATATATTAACTTTCAAAAACTCTTGGTTTTTTTTAAATAACGTACTTAAATCAATACCTGGGTAAGATTCATTTAATGGTTCATCAATTTGAAGTTTTTGATGAACAATATTCATTTGATCAACAAATGAATCAATAAATTGATTCATAATATCATAACAATAATATTCTTTTGTTTTTTATTCTTCAAATAATTTCAATTCGATTTACCAAACTAAATAAATTGTTTGTTCTGAAGGTAATAAGAATTGAAGTGTCAATTGATGAATAGCTTGATTAAGTTGTTCAAGTAATATTTTTTTATTTGGATTTTCTTCATCGAATGATAAAATTTTATTACCTAGTGTGTCAATTGATAAATTCCATTGTTGTTCTTCATATTCTGGTACAACTTGTTCATATAATTTTTTTTATTTGTTCAACTATTTCATAATCAAAATAAAGCTATAAAAACACAAAAACAATAAGATTTTCTTTTTTGTAGAAAATTTTTACATCACGATTATTTCGTTGCGATTGTTCTTGTTCTGTCATATAGAAACCAACAGGTGAACGAGCTCGTTCAGGTGTTCAAACATTCTCGAGTATATTAGAAAGAATTTTTCGAACAATACTTCCAGCTTCTTTATAGAGAAGCATTTTCTAAGAAAAAAAATTTTTTTCTTGTTGATTTTCTTTTCGTAATAATAAATATATACTTCGATATTAATACGTGTTTGTCGATGAACATCCTCTCCAGTTGTTACACCACATAATGTAAATATAATTGGTCGATCACCACGAAGAACAGGACATGTTAATAATTGCCAACATATACAAATGGAAGTTTGAGAGTATCATTTGGTAAGATTGAACCTTGAGCGATAATAATCAAGGTGAATATGTGTATGAATTAAAGAAATTTTAATGAAAGCAAAGATAATAATGTGCAAATGATTAAGTATTATGTTAGAAATTAGTGTAGTTCTTGAATAAAAGCACAATAAATGATGTGTATTGGAAATTTAGATTGTTGTATAATTTCATTCTACTATCGGTAGATACGAAACGTAGTACATCTTTCGACGTAAGAACATTGGATATATGTGATTTTGAGTGAGTATTGATCAAGATGAGACAGAGTAACGATATGAAGAAAAAAATCGATCGAATTGCACACCATCGTATGCAGTTCTATTAAACCAGTAGAAGGGTGTGGGTGTGGGTGCGTATTAGGTCGAATACAAGAGAGTAACACCCACACCCACACTCACACCCTTCTTACCCAGGCTTTCTCTTTCCGAAGGACGAGTACTTGTTTTTGAGAGCCCGGACATGCCATACGAGTTTCAATAATTACACATTCCGGGAGGACTAACCTGATCTTCGGAGAGGCGCCGTCTCCTCGGCTGTCACATTGGATAAAACGCTGATCAAGACTTCAACAGCATGTGACAGAGGATGTGGGTATGGGTGTGATATTTTTCTCTCACCCACATCCGTATCCACCCACACTCACATCTATTCTCAATTTTTTCACTTCCTAGAATTTGCAAATTGGATTCTCTTTAAATTATCTAGAATGATAGAGTAAACAATTCTCTACAAAATAAAAACATCTTCAAGCTCTCTAACTCGGTTTTTTAACGGAATATATCAGACTTGAGGAAGGCACAACAATGATGTTTTTATACAAAATAACAGCAAAAGCGACTTTGGTGTCTTGCGTAAGGTTGATGTATCTCGTTCAAAAAATATTGTAGAAAGCTGAAATATGTTACATTTTGTAGCGAATTATTTATCCTATGGTAATTCGAAGAGAATTCTATCTGTGAATTCAACGGGCTTAATAATGTGTCTTTTGTTTTTTTTCAGAGACTATACTTGAGAAAATAGCAATCATATCCATCGTTGTGAACTCTTCTTAGACATAAATTTCTCAACTCAAATAATTATTTAGATTCTTCTTACAAGGGAGTCATTCCAAATGATAAATTGCTTTTGAGTTTGGATTCTGAGATTCCGAGCACCCCAAACTCTATGCATTAGGTAGATTCCAGTGAGATATGAAACATCTCAAAAAGATGAGCGCTCGTTAGCTCTCTTCCTAGAGGTATAACCATTTTATTAAAGCTTCAGTCTATGGCATAGTCTGTCCCAATAAATCAAATGATGACATTTAAACCTGAGGTTTTACCCACAAATTGACCAACATCTAATTCGAGTGCTTTGAAAATTTCGTCTCAGAAGAATGTTTTTTTTCAAAAGATATTCAAGCTGCGACAAACATGAAATTCTTCCATTTTTCATATGATATTAGTATATTTTGGAATTTGAACATCTTTAAGTTCAATTATCATCATTCGATTCGTTGCTGCAGACTATACCATAGGCTAAAGTCCTAGTAAAATAACTATAATGCTAAAACAAAAAGCCCGAGGGCAATTATTTCGTTGGAATTTTCGTACCTCACCAGGGCCTAACTTATGCATACGATCCGATCTTAGAAATAATTTGTCACTTAGAATGGTCCTCTCGTTAACCTTTATACCAACGGAAAAAAATAAAAAATAAACCAGATTGAATAATTCTGGAAGTCACTGTATATTCTAATTGCTTTATTAAATAAATGACCACATGCCAAAGAAATCTCACCAAAAGTAGTATTCCTAGCATAGAGCTTAGTGTTACTTCCTCTTAAAATAGATACCTTAATCTTTATTTAGGATTAAAAAAAAGCGCTTCGAACTTAACACTCTTTACTAGCACTGTACAGCATAAGATTAAATTTATAAATAAAAGCTTATTCTAGAGATGAACATCAATTATGTACTATCTGATTTTCAAATAACAGTTCAATCCTGTGGAAAAATCACAATGAATATCTGATAATCGATTTAAGCTAAAAAAGTTAAGCTTAACATCTAGTATAAATAATATCATGCACTTTAACTGAAAAGAAACCTATAGAGCAATAGCAAATAAGATTTGCTATGTCTACCATTAGAACGAAAAGGATTCTCGTAACGTTGAAATACAGGTTCTGCAATTAATATTATTTGCTAATAAAAAAAAACTCTAAAAGATTTCTTAATCTTTTTACTAGTACGATTATCGAAACAGAAACGTTACGTTTTTGAATTAACAATATCAAATGGTTTTGTATATGATTTTTGTTGCCATGCATAATAAAAAAACTGTTGTTCCAACATTTTTTATTTCAACTATACGTGTTACACTTTAACTAACTTGACTATCAAATTGAACACGAATCTCATAGATAAAATCAAGTTCTTCATTTACATTAGGCATTTGTTAAGATACAAATGTATCAATTTTTAAAACCGGACCTGATTAAATTCCGAAAAGAGAAAAAAAAATTAATAAAATTCTTTGATTGTGATTTATGATTCTAGAATTGGATAATTTTTTAAACCTAAATTTGTTAGAATTGTCGTTCGATCACTATAATATTGATATTGTGAATCATAGTAACTAGCTGGACACGAATCATTTTGTAGTATTCAAATAACCTCGAATAGATAGAACACGATTGCAATAGTATGGTAAATAATAGTAATCAATATTTTCTATGAAAAAATCAGGCCATGATTCAAGTAGATATTCATACATAGATTTGTAGTTGAACGATTTTTTAAATAGTAACAACATTTAAGAATTCAATCAAGAAAAAAGAAATCGAATGGTTTGCTTATATACAGATAAGCCATGTGTTTCACGACACTAATTAGTTCTCAAAAATTATTTTCTGGCATTCAATAAAAACTATAAAAAGTATATGATTAGAAAGATGCAGAATTTCATGCCCTATGATCTTAGGATAACGACGTCTAGAACTAAGGAGAAGGCAGATTCATAGTCTTGTCTGTTGGTATCCTTTAATGTTATGTTGAGCTTTATTATAAAGCTGATGAAAAGAATGAGAAAGATCAGTGTCAAGTATGATTCAAAAACACATCAAATCAAATATTTACTCTTCAATCCCATTGAAATGTCATGAATACTTTTTTTTCAATCCATTTCAAAGAGCATGTGTATGTGTATATCGTGTAAGACGATGAAAACATACAACCAAATAGTTGAAGTCTATCAGATAAAATTGAGACTTTGCTATGTAAAGAAAAGAAACCGTAGACAGTTAACAACGCTAGAGTATGGATCAATAGCTAACAGTAGAATATCTATGAGAAATCCCTGAGATGAGGTGGAAAGTTTGAGAAGTAAGACTAGACCATTAGAGAGAAGATGGAAAAACTTGTCGTCGTGAGAGTCTCTGAGCTCGATCTGTCCGTTTAGATCGATAATCGTTTCATCTTTCGGAAAAAAATTTTCTTCTTGTCTCCACATTCGTTGAAATAATTCACCAGACTTCACTCACGGCAGTTCCGATCGAACGTATCTTCAATGACAATGGATCAAGGGAAAAAGACGCTACTTCAAACTACTTCACACTACTTCAAGATGCTTCAAAGCGGGTGAAGAAACATTTTTTCCCCTTGCAATGAATTCATTCTAACCATGTGACAAACGAATTTGATACTATGAGACACGCATCGATGCCGATAATATTGAGTATCGGGTTTTTGGAAGCGTGTAGGTACACGCTGATATTGCTACGTATAGGACATCAGACGTTCGAATCGCCGAAATTTCTCCAATAGGACTTACGCTAACTAGACTTTTATCAACAATTAACGAAAATCGTTTTTGGCGAGATTCAGTAATTCCAGACGTTCCTATTAGAGATTTTTGATCTTCTTAAACAAAATATCACAAAGAAGTCTAATTCAAGATGACTAGGTGTCCATGTAGTGTCGCAGATGAAATTGGATAAAAGTTGGTCCGTGTCACATGCGCACTGTCGAGAAACAAAAGCATATACGGTATATATCTTAGTTAACTGGTAATTTCTTTTTACCAAACAATCCATATGTTCTCGTCCATCGAGTACATATAATAGTGTAAAATCTGAAGACAGTCAAGCTGTCCACATAAAAACTAGAAAAGTTCGCTGAAAAAAGGATAATATCCTCTGATTATAATCAGTTCAACATATGTTCTTCTTTTTAAGCATCGTTCTCAACCTGCTCATTCTCTTCCATTTTCAACTTGTCTTGGAAGAAAAACTGGATAAGTCAGATTTTGGGAAGATAAACACGCGCGTTCACAACAATCTAGAGTGTGGATGTTGGTGTCAGTAGGACTGTTTTTGTTTCTTTTTTTTTTATTGTGATCAAAAGTCAGAAGATATATGTTTTGTTTTGTTCTTGTGGTTTTTATTTTTCTCGTGAACTGTGAATAGGTATTTGTTGATGTGAAAGAAAGAGCAGAACAAAAGTTAAGAACTTTAAGCATTTTCGAAAACTTTTGTTTTTACAACATAAGTCGGAAAATTTATTCTCCCGTGACGTTCCAATACCTATCTGGTGAAATGTCTCAAAAAATACATAATTTGATGTAAGTAGCAACTTGACATTTGTTTCTCTTTGTGAAGAACTTAGAACACATATTAATTTTTGTCAATCTATGCACATGGTGAGATGAGTGCACGAAAGACCGACTAATTTCTAAATTAGAATAGTTCAAATAGATGGGAATCTTGTGAACAGTAACAATTGCAACAGTGTCACATATTGAAT